CTTTTCTTCATTTATTTTTCAGATATTTCATTGTTAGTGTATAGAAACACAGCTGATTTTGTATCCTGCAACTTTACTGATTTCACTGATTAATTCTAACAACATTTTTTGTGGAGTCTTTTGGATTTTCCATATGTAAGATCATATCATCTGCAGAGAGAACTTTTACTTCTTCCTTTCTGATTTAGATGCCTTTTATTTTTTTTCTTGCCTAATTTCTCTGGCTAGGATTTCCAGTACTATGTTGAATCGGAATGATGAGAGTGGGCATCCTTGTCTTGTTCCTGACCTTAAAAGATTTCAGCCTTTAACTGTTGAGTAGGATGTTAGCTGTGGGCTTGTCATCTACAGCCTTTATTACGTTGTGGTACATTCCTTCTATACCCAATTTGTTGAGAGTTTTTTTTTTTTTTTATCGTGAAAGGATGCTGTATTTTGTCAAATTCTTTTTCTACATCTATTGAGATGACTCTATGATTTTTATCTTCAGCCTATTGGTCGTGTATCACATTTATTGATTTGTGAATGTTAAACTGTCCTCGCATCCTAGGGATAAATCCCACTTGGTCATAAAAGAATGTATTACATTACGTCATATAGGAAGCAGGAAACTTCCTTTCTTTCCAAATCTTGGAATAAAATGGGCTCTTCTAAGAAGCTGGTCTTGTTTTTCCTTTGGCTTCTGAAATGCTGTGACTTATCAGTCCTTCACTTCCAAGGGCTTAGGGACCATAGTCTTGATGATGAGAGCCTAGACCCAGATCACTTCATTTACCTGGTTCAGTGATGCCGCAATGCGGATACAACCGTTCCCACATTAACAATGAGGAAACTAGGCTTTAAAACATTAAGTAATTTTCCCATATTCATATAGCCAGAACGTGACAAAGACAAACTTCAAACCCAGTCTGTATAATTTTTGTGTGTGTGTGTGTGTGTGTGGTATGCGGGCCTCTCACTGTTGTGGCCTCTCCCGTTGCGGAGCACAGGCTCCGGATGCGCAGGCTCAGCAGCCATGGCTCACGGGCCCAGCCGCTCCGCGGCATGTGGGATCCTCCCGGACCGGGGCACGAACCTGTGTCCCCTGCATTGGCAGGCAGACTCTCAACCACTGCGCCACCAGGGAAGTCCTGTATAATTTTAACTTACTTATTCTCTAACCTACTTCAATCTGAACCCTAGTTAATTTTTATGTGAAGTGTGATTATTTCTCTCTCTTATTTCAGAAAAGATTAAAGGCAATTTGAAGATAAGTACCCTACCTACTTTGCAATGTGGTTATGAAAGTCAAAATATTACAACTGTGAATGGATAAGCCTTAAAAGCTATAAAATTCTAGCAAAATCCAAGATATTACAGCTTTCCCAGAACATTCTACTGTGTCAAATCATTCAATTGGCTCAGCTAATACTAAAAGGACTCAGTGGAACAGAAATAAAGGCATTGTGGTCTTTTGGTTTAGTATAAAGCCATCACCAGGAGTGACACCATTTAATAAATGAGAACAGTTAATGAAGCACAGTGTGGCAAGTGCTGGGTGGAAGGTGCAAGAAGAGAACAAAATCCTTCCCTGTTGGATGTAACATCCCCCCACCCCCACAGCACATGGACCACCAGCACCCACTGATTTGCAGCTCCTCAGAGGCCACAAAGCCCTGCCCTGAGCATCTCCTCATTTGATCTGGTGTTGCTACTGTTTCCACATTACAGGTACAGAGGGAATGGGACACAGTGAGGTTGAGAGACCTGCCCACTGTCTCTCACATTAGAACTACTGGGCCTGGTGTTCAAATCCAAGAACTGTTCTTTACCACGTGGGGGGCATGACCTCAGAAACTGTGCTGTACTTGTTACTTTTATGTAGCCCCCCCCCCCCAGTGTGGGATGTGCACCAATGATTTGGGTGGAACATAAGATGATTTTAGGGGCCCTCAGGCTTGGAATGAATTAACACTGAACCATATGGTGAGAAAGTTACTCCCTTCCCAATTCTCTTCCAGTCCTTTCATTACATCATGAAGAGAGTCTCTGTTTGGTGCTAATGAGTTTTTATAACAACTCTCCCACATTTGCCAATCTCCGTTTTTAACCGAGAGAGAAAAAGATCTTGGGATTAAAGCCTTTACTAGGATACGGGATCTTGTTAGAATTTAATAACATAGTTTTATCTTCATTATATTGATTTTTGCAATGACTCTATTTTCTGTTTATGGCAAGTGGTATGAGTCTTCAACTGCAAGTGTGTGGGATGATGGTCACTTGAGAAACTTGATGGTCACTTGGGTCTTGGCTTTGAGGTCCCTGTATTCAAGGCCAGTTCACATTTATAGCGTCACAGAGAGCTCAAGATGGCCAGCTGTGAGCCCAGCCATGGATGAAGCCTGACCACCTCATGATGCTGAGTCAATAGGTCCTTTATCACTCTGGGGAGTCTCTGGGTTCCTAAACAGAAGAACCTGGGCCAACCTAAAGGTCACACAGTGACAATTCAGAGAGAACAGAATAGAGAGAACTGGTCAGGAGGGCCAGAGACATGCTGAGTGGGGACAAAGGTAACAAGAGAAAATAGCAGTAAACGTTCTTACTCTAGTGAAGATGTGAGGACCCCTTTGGAAACATGATGAAAACCATGAAGCTTGTTACCAAGGAAATTGCACATGTGTGTTTCCACTCACGTTCGTGTACACATACATAACAATATTAGGGGATTTGTGGGCTCCAGGTTTTGAACTCCAGCTTTGACATTACTATCTAGAAATTCTCTTATTGACCAACTCGTGCCTAAGGGTAAGTATAAAGAGGTTTCTCTAAACAAAGATTCCTAGTTTTGTAAGTTTTTTGGCATGTTACTCCCATCCATCTATCCATCCATTCTAAATGCATTGCACTTTTCTCTCCTTACACTGGTTCTCAAGTGTTTCTACCAGGGAACCCCCAACCTAGAGGAGAAAAAACTCACCCTCTGAGACTCTGAGAAGACTTAGAAAGCTCATCATAAGATCACAAATGTTTTTCATGTTTAGCTTAAAAGTTTACGCCAATTTCGGGACCTACTTAAATAGACGTGTTTTGACATAACATCTCTCTGCAAAAATCATTTAGTAAAACTGACCCTCCAGGAAGATGAGGCTTGCTTATACTGATGCTCCTTGGCCTCTTGGTACACCTGCGAGATCTCTAGGGACCCAGGTTAGAGAAGCAAGGCCTTGCTTTGTGCCAGTCCCTGTACCAGGAATGTGGAGATCAAGAAATCCCCTAAAAAAAAAAAAAAAAAAAAAAAAAAAGAAATCCCCTAGGGACAGGGACCCAGATGCTCTCCCCATCCCCACAGTGCCTCGTGCAGGGCAGAGCCCCCAGGGAGCTCAGTTTATGATCAGAAGTTCCTAACAAGGGTTTTGCAGTAGCTCCAGGCTGCTGCCCTGTAAGAGTGATACAAGGTAATGGATGAAGATCTCTGACTTTGGAGCTTCACAGCCCTAAGTTCAAAGCCCAGCGCTGCTGCTTATCACACTTTGGCTCTAGGGCACTCCTGGTACCGTAAAGAAAATATCTGGGTTTGCCAGCTGGAAGAAAAGTCAACTCAGCCTGGAGAGGGAGCTGTTGCGGGTGTTCTGAGGCTGGGCAGAGCATGTGGGTGAAGAGCCCAGACTTCAGCAGAGACCTGGGCGCTTCTCCTAGCTGCACCCCGTCAGCCCTGAGCATTCAGACAAGGAGCAATCCCCGCGTGCCTCTGTTTCCTTGTGTCAAAAACAACGGGGTTGAATGGGATGGCTCCTAAGGGTCCTCCCAGCCTGATGCTTTCTGCTCAACAGCTCAGTTTCATTGGGCAGAGCTCTTCTGCTTTATCTTCTTTATGGCGCCCATCTTTCTTCCTCATTTCTGAAAGTGCCTTTTGGACACCATTCTTATCTTATAAAAACTGCAGCTATCTCTTATGAACTCTGCTCTCATCCCCCCAAATCTTCTCTCCTGCGTAGATGCAGAAGATCAACAGCTCTTGTTCCTAGCATGGACCGCTTTAACAACATGGGAGGTTATGTAATTAGACTTGTTACAATACCACAAGGCAGAACTGAAACGGATTAGACAAGAGAAGCCAAGTTTCATTATCTGGTCTAGAATGTTTCTCCAGCCAAGAATCCAAGCTGATGTCCACATTCCTAAAAGTTAACTTCCTGTTTCCTTTTTCTCTGAGTGCAATAAGTGCCTGTTTAATCAGGCACCCTCCCCGCAATGTCCTTAATGAGCACTCATGTAATCTTCGTTAATAAAATGAGGATTTATTAAACTTTCGATTCTAACAAATAGTCAGCCATTATCTTTGCAATGGGCCCCAAGCCCTGGTAAAAATGAAGTGGTCTCTGGGACCATTCAAAGGGTCCATTCAACAGATCTTAACGTGTTAAGAATAGAGTTTAACGTGTTTAGAACAGAGCGTAACGTGTTAAGAATAGAGCTTAACACGTTAAGCTCTATTCTTTAGTGACAAGAGTGAGTCTTCCCACCACCATGCCTCAGTTTAAAGGCCTGAAGCTGAATTTTGTTTTCTTACCACACTGAGGTCCCACAGACACCTTAGTCAAGCGTTAAGAGCTTAAAAACAAAAGAAAGGAAAAACAAAAATTGAGAGGCAGGTATAAAGAGGAACAGATGCTTTCCCTAGCCATGGCCCCATGGATGAATCTGCCCAGAAGGAAGCCCAGCAAAAAGAAAGCCCAGTCACATTCTCAAACAGTTCCCACCCTCCCTTTGTTGAAGGGACTAAGAGAGGCAGTGAATTCAGCTGTTCAGAGTTCCAGGGGAAAATCAGGATCTTCAGGATTTTTATTTCCAAATGAAGAATAGAGCAGCAGGAAATCAAGGCTGAAGGAAGCCCTCCCTCTCTTAGGCAGTTAAAGCCCTGGAGCAAGGTGGGTAAAGAAGACAGTGTGAGGTCTTAGACTGCTTTTGTGGTTCATTTTTAAAAGACTGAATTTAGACTTAAAGAATAAAGATAAGGAGAAAGGCATCGAGGCTGCAGTTTCCCGCAGCCCTGGGAAGTGGCTGTTTGCTGGAGACAAGAAGATGAGATTTCTCAAGCTGGGCTCCGGGCTAGAAGGAACAGAATGAACCCAGCCAGGGCACAGAGCTGAGTTGGGTGACAGCACCCTCGTTGTCCATTCTCTCCTTGCCCCTACCTGTCCCCACTGGTCTCTGCCAGCCTGTTGTTCATTATTGCAAAGGCTCCTATCCCCCCTGAGAATTCATCGTCCAGCGACAGAGTGCTGGTCTGGTGGGAGCAGCCATTGGCCGTTTCGGACAGCTGCTTCTGGAGGATGGCTAGTGAGACCTTGTTGGCCGCCAAGAAGTCCTTCATGGAGATCATCTCACCCGAGAGACGCCGCCCATCGGTGTCACTCTCTATGACTCCATCCGTTTCTATGGAGATGTTGCACCGGTTCTGGACAGTACCTGGCATCACCACGTTCCTCCGGGACTGCAAGAGTCTTCTTTGGCATTGCTGGCAGCACCCGCCATCCATCTTCCTCAGGATCCAGTTCACGGACTGTTTAATGAGGATGGAGATGACATTGAACAAGGAATAGATGCAGCAGACGCCCATGAGGATGAAGACGAAGTTGGCAAAGCGGTAGAGGCCCTGGCTAGCATACCGGGCGTTCTGGCTGCTGACGAGGTCTCCAAAGCCAATGGTGCTGAAAGCCACAAAGCAGAAATAGAGTGCGTCAAAGTAGCTCCATCCTTCCACGGAGGTGTACATGGCGGACGCGCAGCAGGAGATGAGGAGGGAGGCCATGCACAGGATCAGCATGACATAGTACACGGAGGGCTTCCAGCCAGCCGAGCTGTCCACCTCACCCTTCCCCGGGTTCTTCAGGCTCTGCTGGGCCAAGGCCCCCCGCCTCTGGAGCTGCCGCTGGTGGCACGATTTCATGATGCAGGCGATGACGGTGATCAGGCGCTCCAGGAAGAGGTTGAAAAACAAGATGGTGCTGGAGCACCCGAGGAGGCCATAAAAGATCAGAAAGATTCTTCCTTCTACTGTTGCTGGAGTTGTCATCCCAAACCCTGCAGGAGACAAAAATCAGAGAAGAGTGAGGGAGATCTTTGCCGTGAATGGGGTCAGTCTTGGCTTTGATGGCTGGCAAAGGACCTGAAGAAACAGTTTCATAAAAGCACTCTGTCCTAGCCTTTCTAGGAAGGAGAGGGAGAATTATGACTTGCTTTTGAAGACACTAAGTGTTGTTCAGAGCTGGGCTGCTCAAAGCCCATATGGTGCCAGAGTCCAAATCAGAAAAAGGTACCTCTTCCTCTGAGTGGATACCACCAGTGACAGTGGCTTGGTGATGAGAATGTGGGCTGGATTTCAGCCTCCCCTCCCGATTCTGCTATAGATGTCCTCATACAGTAGATGACCTGAACGACCATACTTAACAGACGTTGTTCAGAGAGATAAACAAAGGCTCATACAAAGAAAAGTCTTACAGAATTCACTTATTCTATAAACACTTATTGGCTGCCATTCCAGGAATGGGGAATAGAACTGTGGAAAAAGGTAGATCTGGTCCCTGCCTTCATGGAGCTCTAATGTAGTGAAGTGATTACTATGTTTTGTGATCAGTGTTATGATAAGCATGGTGCTGGAGAATGTTCAGGGTCTTATGGGAGCTGTTAAGAGGGAAACCCATCTCAGACTTGGGGGCTAGGAAGACTAAACAGGGAGAACCTAAAGCTAAAGAGGGGTCAGGCAAGGCAAGGAGGGTGCATGTGTGTGTGTGCATGTGTGTGTGTGTGTGTGTGTGTGTGTGTGTGCATGGTGGTGGTGATGTTTCAGGCAGAGAAACAGCACATGCCAGCAGATATGGAAATGAACAATTTGCTCAAGATTTTCCCATCTTTTTTTTTTTTTTTCTTGCGTTACGCGGGCCTCTCACTGTCGCGGCCTCTCCCATTGCGGAGCACAGGCTCCGGACGCGCAGGCTCAGTGGCCATGGCTCCCGGCCCCAGCCGCTCCGCGGCATGTGGGATCTTCCCGAACCGGGGCACGAACCCGTGGTCCCCTGCATCGGCAGGTGGACTCTCAAGCACTGCGCCACCAGGGAAGCCCAGATTTTCCCATCTTTAAACAAAACTCTCATGCTTTGGGAGTGCTAACTGACGTGTTAGTTGTTATAGTTTGATAACATATAAAAAGTCTCTCTTGCCTTCGTCTCTTACTGTTCACAGTTTTGACTTTCTTGACCTTTCTACCCCTACACACAGATATGTTAGTAAAATACCAATTGTAGGACAGTGGACATCACTAAGAAAAAGGAGAAATGGAAGAAAAATACACTCAGTATTTCTCACTCAGGGGCACTAATCTTCAGCCCACTGTGAGGGACACGAAGTTCTTCCAAGCAAATGATTCAGTAAACATGAGGAGTCTGATTTGTTTGAGGGGATGAGCATCAAAGTCCTTCTGAAAATCAACAACATCTGAAAAATAAGTACTCATCATGCCACCCTAGGTTCAGGTTTTTTTATTCAAGTCAAACCTCCTTCTTTGTATTTTTTCTTTATTATCAAGCTCAGTTTCCTAACCGAGGCCGCATCATTGGGATCTCTAGGATTCACCCATTATCCTCTTTCCTGATAACACCCTGCTATCATCAAGCCAACACTTTTCTTTGCTGCCACAGCTCAGCCCGTGGCTGCCTCCCAGTGCATCCTGGGACGTGGTCAGATCAGACCTCGCGATTTGTGAGCTTCTGGGATTATGACTTCCTGCTTCCTCATGTGAAGCCAACGGGCCACCTTTCCCAAACACCTATAGGTGTGCATACTGTGTTACCATTTAGTTTTCCAAGTAAATTCAATTTTCCTTTCTCAGCATACAAGGGTCTATCTAGGGTAGGAAATTAACAATATATAGCCAAGAACCTGCAGGAAGATATTGATTGCTTTTTAGCTGGATGGCATGGAGTAGAATGGGTGATCAGGTAAGGAAGGAGTGAGGGGCAGGGAATAATTCCACTGGGAGTTACAGTCCTGGCCCTTTAATGGTAGAGAGAAAGTCAGACCATCATCTCTTCTCTGGGAACTCTTGTTTTGAAAATTAAAGGCCTTTAGTGACTCTTGGCAGTGTAGGTTTCATTTATTAGATATCTTCATTACGATGTAAGGAAATTCTCTCTTTGCTGTCTTTTCTCTTATTAGTAACTTTCTCATCCCCAAGCTTGAGTTGCAGTGAGGCAGTTGACGTAGTGGAGAATTAAGAAAAAACTTACTGAGTTTAGGGACTGAGTTGAGAGCAGTGTCTTTTTCTACCCAGTCTGAAGAACACGGAGGAGTGACCAAGGTGTGGAGTGATTAGTTCCTGATCACTTAGGCCTGCGGGGGGAACCTCCTCTGGCTCAGTGAATTCCTGAAACCAGTAAAGCTTGTGAGTGCTTCTGCACTAAGAAGATATAAAAACGAAAGCTGGAGCCCTTGCCCCAAAGCTGTAAGGCTAGCAGAGTATTGCGGCTGTCTTCATTGAAACAGAACTGAGGCAACACGTAGGAAAAAGGAGAAACGTTTATCTGCAGCCATTTGTTGACCCAACAACATTCCAAAAAAAGGATAAAGTTATTGAAAATAGGGAAGGCCCAATATACCCTGAGAAAACCATAATTCAAAAAGACACATGCGGGCTTCCCTGGTGGCGCAGTGGTTGGGAGTCCGCCTGCCGATGCAGCGGACGCGGGTTCGTGCCCCGGTCCGGGAGGATCCCACGTGCCTCGGAGTGGCTGGGCCCGTGAGCCGTGGCCGCTGAGCCTGCGCGTCCGGAGCCTGTGCTCCGCGATGGGAGAGGCCACAACAGTGAGAGGCCCACGTAAC